CTCCTCCTCCACCTCCACCTCCTCCTCCTTCCCCCGCCGTTGGATACCGGCTAAAACAAAATACTTTAGTATTATTATAGAGATATTAAAAAATTAAAAAATAAAATGAAAAATTTAATTTAATTTTTTATTTTTCATTTAAACAATATTAATTTTTTATATTTTGATTTTTTTATATTTTTGATATAGTACATATTAAATTATTATTTATTTAAAAAATAAATTTGATTATATCTTTTTTTTTCATTTTAAATATGAAAAGCAATAAACGCAAGAAAACCGACAGAAGATAGCAAACGATCAATAAAGTTACGAGTAACAGTGAAGTAGAGTAAGGTGCGTCGAACGCGTAGATGGTAGATAGAAATGACAAGAATCCCTAGTACGACTGAAATCATAGTTTTCTTTTTTCAAATTCTTAGTAAGTTTATTTATATCATGTGTTTCTATTGCTGTATTCTATGTCTCTTCCCTCATTCTCATCTTAAAACCACTTTTAATTTCCGCATTATATTTTTCTTTTTATATTTTTAAATATATAACTTATATTTTAACTGTAAATATTTTCTGTAATTACATGCATAAATAAAAATATAAATATAAAATTTCCTGAAAATAATTGTATAAATTTAATGAATTTTGGATTTATAATAGCATTTTAATGAAAATAATATGTTAGAATACTTTCAGGATATTACATTAACCTTAATTCAATTTTCATTCAATGATTTTTCAAATTAGAGAAAAATAAACGGTAAATAATAAAATTGAATTTTTTTTAAATATTGTGATAAAAAAACAAAAATAAATATATTTTATTTGTTTCTAATTAATTGTTTCTAATATATCAAGCAACATAGTATCTCTTATAATCTCTTATAATCTTGTTCAATGACTCTTAATAATTCGGAAGCATACATTTAACCCAAATTCATAACTTCCGCAAATACTATTCTAAAAGAAATCATAGAGAGTATTCAAATTCTTTCAATTATTTTTTATAACCACAGCATTTCAAAATAATTTCTCACAGTATTTTTATCGCAAGTCTGTTGCTTTTTGATATTTTTTTTTACTAATTAATGTTAAACCAAATATTTTATACACAATTATAGAAAAGATAAATTTATTAAATAATTTTTATAAATTTTTGGTAAATATATGGTATATTTTGATAATATATTTTTGGTAAATAATATAAAATTCTGGTAAATATTCTAACAAAGTGTGTTCATAATTATTGTCTATGAATTCATTGAGTTAAACAATAAAAAAAAAATTCAATAACTATTATCATTAAACAAGTAAAAAATATATTGTCTTTTGAAATAATTAATCTCACATGTTCGGTTCTCACTAAATTTTCATTTTAAAAGAAATAAATAAAAAAATTTATATAATTCTGATTCTATTTATTTAATATATTTAATATAATTAATTAATATATATAATTAATTATTTAATATAATAAAATACAAATTTTTTAGATTATTCGATATTTGTTAATATCGAATTTGATAATAAAATTTATCATTAAAAGATAAATTTACCTATAAAAAATAAATTATAATAAATAATGACAAATGATATAATAAATGATGACAAATGATATTTTTATTAAAATACATTTTTTATATCTTCTTATATTAATATTTAATCAAGAAAAAAAACAAGAAATAAAAATTTTGAATTAATTTTTTTTATTTGTATGTGCACATGATTCTTATAATTAAGTAATTCTTTAATTGTAATTCTTTCAATTAATGTTTATCAACGTTATTTAATAATGAATTAATTGAATTCCGGTTATTTGTGCTTAATCATCATTATCTTGTTATCATTTATAATTTTATAAATATTTTGTCTTTTTACAAATTTTTTAAAAAATTATTTAATTTCTACATGAATTTTAATATTTATTATTAAAATTTTAAATTTAAATTGCCGAAATCAATATAGTATAATTAAATACTGTTATTATTTTATTAAAAAATTTAGATATATAAAAAAATACTGATAACGTATTGAACTATTAAGATAATCAGCTGAATGCACATATTACGTGTGAGATATTTAATGCGACGCGTCCGCTGTTTCTCGATGCGATGATGTCATAACTTAAAACGTAAAACTCACTATCGTTGCTCGTTAGGCAATATACTATATTACGTTTATCCAAATACGATTATCATAATCTAAATACAAAAAAAAAAAAGAAAGAAAAAAATTTTTTTTAATTATTTAAATAGAACAGTGAACAATAAAATGCTTCTGCTATATTTTATGTAAAAAAAAATCTGTATTTTATTAATAATAATATTTTCTTAATAATAAAAATAATAATTATAATGAAATAAATTAAATTTGGATCAGTTAAAAAACGAAGCTCAAAAGATAAAGCAACACTGTTGAACATACAGGTGAACATTCCTTCTATAGAATCGAAACTCGAGAGCAGCAAGTTTATTTCCAAGCGACGATAGATTGCGCGCGGGCGGTTGAGAGTTATTATAAGAAAAAAAATGTTCATAATTGCATACTATAATTTATTATCATTATATTTCAAATTATACTTTCTATAAGAAAAAATGTAATCGCTTTAGAATTTTGTTTAAGACATTAACATACAATCATGTTTGTAGATGTTATATTAATATTTTGTCTCCGAATTCGATCATAAGGACGTCGAGACGAACTCAGCGTATGATTATTCGTGTGATACGCCCAAATGACCATTACATGTATGTCAATTTATTACTCTACAAACAAATGCGAGCAATCTGATATAAATGCGCACGCGCACGACCGCGCATTGAGTAAATTTTATAGTATAAAAGAGTTAATTTTTATTATGATTGTCTTTTGTCGAATTTTTGACATCCTTGCAGTATTGCATGTATAATGAATTAATTAAATGCATATAAAAAATAATGAAAAAATTTGACTCGAATAATTTTTTAATACAGACATGCTTATTTATTATTATCATTTTTGAATAAATATTGAATTAACATTAAAATGATATAAATTTTCAAACGAAAATCTAAAATGAAAATTAAAATTTTGATTCTAATACTTTCCCGCCGGTATACATACATATATATAAAATGTTACGAAACATATTAAATAAAGAATGGAAATATGAAAATATCATTATTATCGTTTTTAAGTTTAAATTTTTAATTTAAACTTAATGTTTGACACGAACATAGCAAGAAAAGAAGGTCAATGGTTTAACAATGCAAATGGCGATACAGCAATGGAGAGTAATGGTTTTCAATGGCGCAATTATGACAGCAGAAATCGTAATAATAATTATCAATGTATTTTTATGAAATATTCCATAATCAATGAAAAATATGATTCACAAGACTAAGAGGTTGTGTATGTACAAATGTATAAAAAAACATCCAAGATTGCCGCCTAATCGACACGACACACCCCTTACGCTACGTCATTCTTGTCAATTATTTAGAACTATCGTCTTTCGTATTTTAATAATATTGTGAGTTCTAAAATGAATTATATTCACAATTATATATTCTAATTTAATTATTTAAAATGACTTACCTAACACAAAATTAGGCGACTATTGTAGATGATCGATATATCCGTATTCGTTTGGGGAACCGTTTGACTCGCTGTTCGTATCACCGAGCGGTCGTTCCGTTCGGTGGACAGCTTCCCCGCCCCCGTCACCGTCGATGCTCTTCCGGCGGCTGGCAAACCTTCCCCAAACCTCCTCCACCTTCTGGTTCGCTCGTACTGCCACCACCACTATTCCTACCACCACCACTTCCACTTCCACTTCTACTTCTACTTCTATCTTCTCCTTTCCACTTTTGCACTTCGTTCTTTATATCTCTTTCCCGTTTCAAGTTTTCAAGTTTTCAATTATATTAATTTTTAACCTATAATTTTACCTATAATTCATTTAATAATATTTATGCTTATGAGAATCTTCATACTTGATCTCTTTGACGATATATAGAAGTGAATAATCGTAAATAATTTATTATAACTTCATTATCGAGGTTAATACTTCGTCTCTACTCTACTCTCTGTATTCCTGTTTTTTCCTCGAACTAATTGTACAATGGACACGCGGATCTTGCGCACAATACTAATGCGCAACACATAGCTGATCTACGAAACTTTAAGAACAAACCAACGAAAGATCGCTTCTCGAAAATCTGATTGGTTATCTTTTAAATTAACGTCCAATCAAAACATTTGAATTTTATACAACCAATAATATTAAGATATAATACGAACGTATCGAAAGTCATCATAAGTCGATATATTACATGAATAATCGAAAATATTTCATACTATTGTGATATTTAATATTATATATTATGTGTACAATAAGAACAGATTAGTGTATATTTATCGATCAATTTAAAATATAAATGTAGAATATTGATTTTAAATTATTCTTAATATTTTCTTTAGTATATAATTCTATACCACAATACGATACTCTAATATAATGTTTATCCATTTATTTCTATCCTTCATATCATTTGATTAATTTCCTCTCAATTTATCAATTGAACTTTATCTCGTTTGATTCGTAAACTTTAATTTGAAAAATGTTAAACAAAGCGGATTGATTATTTTTAGAATATATACATATTTGAATAAAAAATTATTTTAATATTAGATTTTTAATATTATTTTAATAATATAAAAATGAAATATTTGAATAGCACAAAATAATTAAATTAATCAGAATAAAAGAACCTGTTTTTATAATAAATAAAAACATGTGATATTGATTTTATACAAGTGCAATCGCAACTTACAATATTAGAAAATTGAGATTACAACATAATAATATTTTACGATTGTTTTATATAATAATATTCTTTCGTCAAAACAAATATATTAATAATAATATAATAATATATATTTATAATAATCTAATAATATATAACTTTGAATAAATATAATTACATTATTTTTTTCATAAACAAATATCTTTTTTATTTTTTTTTTTTCAGATAAAAACCTGTTTGGCGCTTTCCATGAGTAGAATTAACTGGAAGTTTACTTTGAGCCAAAGAGATATAATGATTTCTAATCGCGTCAGTGCTACAGTCTTCGATCTCATCTTTGACCAGACAACACTGATTTTTATCTCTTCTCATTTATTCAAATTGTTAGATTTTCGCTAACATCAATATACTTTCTCTTAGTATTAATTTACAATTCTTAAAAATTATCAAAATTGATTTGTAATTTGTGATTTAAGAAGTAAATATTAAATTAAATATGAATTTATTTACTCTTCAAATGAACCAGGTATGTATACATAAACGTTTCTGACGGTTCCATACAACTTTCGTCATTGGTTAATAATATAAACAAATTCAAATAAGTGATTTAATAATTTCAATATAAAACAAAAAGAAGAAATTATTTTATTAATTTGATGACGTGGCATATAAAGATTTTAATTTCAATGAAAAAAAAAATTATAATAATTACTTGACTATTATTGTATATTTTTTTTTCTTTACAATAACACAATTTTTTAATATCGTTAATATTCCGTTTTTCATTACGTTTTACATTATATTAATTTTAATTTTTAAATATTTAATTTTCTTCTTTTCATTTTGTTATAAAATATTAATTTTAGGATGGATAATAAAAATATTTTTTAATTTTTTAAAAAAAATATTTAAATATCTTGAATTGAATTTATTTATTTTTTTTTAAATTCATTATATATTATTTTTATATGTATCATTATATATTATTATATAATTACTATGAATGTTATCTGTATTGTATTGTAATCAAAAATCAATCAAATCATTGAAAACTTCGCGATTAAAATAAATCAATCAAGGATTTTTTAAAATATTATTTATGTTATTTAAATATCAATTTGTGAAAAAATATAATTTATTATTTTTTTTTTTAAATATAATTTCATAATAGTTGTTTCATAATATATGTACTCGAAAATAAAAATAAAATAAATAATAAAAATTTTCAGATATCCCGAAAAATATATAACAAAAAATATTTAAGTAAATGCATAATACGATTGAATCATAATCCTGGACCTTTATCTCAATTTACAGATGAAGAAATTTTGATGAAAGAAAGCGGTAATTTTTCTTATTATCAAATATTTATCAATAAATTGTTTTTTCGTGAAAAGTAGATATTTTACTTTAATTAATTCTTAAAATTATGTATAAAATATAATTTTATAAAAATTATGTACAAAATAATTTATGTAAAATTTTTTAGTTAACAAATTAGCAAAAGAAGAAATTGCTCCGCTTGTACGTAAAATGGAAAAAGAAAGCAAAATAGATGAAGGATTAATACGAAAGCTTTTTGAAAATGGTGTAAGTCTACCATTTTTCACTCTAATAAATTAATATAAATTTGATTTATATAATCTTAAGATATTTATTTCCTTCACCTACTTTTAAATGACGTATAATGTCTTTAATAAATTCATTGATAGTTAATGGGTATCGAAATACCAGAAAAATACGGTGGTTCTGGATGTAATTTCATGACAACAATTTTAAGTGTCGAAGAAGTTGCCAAAGTCGATGGATCTGTGGCAGCTCTAATCGACATTCATAATACTTTAGTAAATTCATTAATTAAGAAAGTTGCTACGGAAGAACAAAAAAAAAGATATCTACCAAGATTAGCTCAAGATTACGTAAGTATTATAAAATAATTTATAGATAATATAAATATATTTCGTAAAATCGAAATATCTCGTAAAAGATTAATCCTATTAAAAAAATATTCTTTCTTATTATTCTTCAAAAGTTATTTATAAAAAAATATTACACTAAAATAAAAATATCCATTATTAATAGTTTTTCTACAAATTACAGATCATAAAGTTAACTTTAATTTTTTAAATGAAATCAAAA